GGATGGAGAGAAGAAACGATAAAGTGAGAGGAGACAGGAGCTCACTCTCTTTTCAGAATGCGTATGGCTGTCTGCTCTGCTTCTCTGATCTTTCAGCTGGGTTTTTATTACTAAAACCAACTAGAACCTGTGCTACAGTGGAATTGCTGCTGTTTATAGTTTCCATCCTTCTCTCCTTTCTTCTAGAAGTTTCTACCACCCTTTCTTTCTGCAAAACACAATGTTCAATAATCTTATTTCATTTGGTCCCCAAGAGACTGACTGTTCTATATCTTTCATCTCCTCCTTAGGTCTATTGCTGAATATTTGGTCTGTATGTTTGTTGGCTGCCTCCTGAGTTCTTTTCACTCTACAACTCTTGGCAATTTGCTGTCATCAGTGATGGCAGGTAGCATCATTTTAGCAACAATGATCTTCTTTACTTCACCAAAATCTGTGTGATGTTCTGCTGCTTCTTCAAGAGGTGAAGCTTCTTATCACTCTTCCTGAAGTGAGCAGAGTGATAGTTAAGAAAACTGACTTCCTGATGATGTTCAATAATAGCTTCATTTCAGCTTATTTGGGGACTTCCCATGCTGGCCAAGGTGGCCAAGGTTCATAGGACTCTGAATTACATAGTCTGTCTCAGCCTAGGGAGCAAGTCCAAAATGAGTGAAAACCTGAAATCTCAACTGGGTGTTATGCTACACACCTATCGGTTATAGGATTATAACACCTATAGGTTACAGGATTATAATCTCAGTATTTAGAATGTTCAGACAGGAAGATTGCCACTAGTTCCAGGCCAACTGTGTGTCAGAAACAAAAACAAAACAAATCAACATAAAAGAGAACAATGTTAAAATTAATATTGATGAAAAATACTCCTAAGAGGGAACTGGAAAGATTGATCAGTAGCTAAGAGCACTTACCCAGAAGACCCAGGTTCAATCCCCGGAATCCACATTGGATGGTTATAAGGGGATCCAATCTTCTGATCTCTTAGGTACACACACACACACACACACACACACACACACACACACACACACACACACACTTAAAAGTAAAACAAAACAAAACATAACAACTTACATATTCTCTGGGAATTAAAATGGTTAAAAAATAAAAGAGGACCAGAAATTGAGGCATAGGGAGATGGGGTGAGCTGGGAAGAGTTAAGGGGAGGAGTTGAGGGTGAATATACTCACAATATGTTGTATAGAATTCACAAAGAATTAATGAAGATATTTTTAAAATGCTTCTAATTACAAGTAGTAAAATACTTTCCTTTGGATTTTTTCAAGACAGGTTTTCTCTGTGTGACAGCCCTATCTGTCCTGAAACTTGATCTGTAGACCAGGCTGGCCTCAAACTCACAGAGATCTGCCTGCCTCTGCCTCCCAAGTGCTGGGATTAAAGGTGCATGTCACCACGGCTCAGCAATAAATGCTTCTTAACTGTTTGCTTATTTGGTAAACAATTCCAAACCTTAGGTTTGTTGTTTTGTTTGAGGCCAGTTCTCACTATGTAGCCCTTGCTGCTCTGGAATCAGTGTGTATGTAGATGAAGCTAGCTTCTAAGCTGTGGTCATCCACTCACCTGCGCCTTCCGAGTGCTGGGAGTAGAGGTGTGCACCACCACGCTCAGCTCTACATTTAACTTTAGGACTGTCCATTGCACCTCTCATCTATCTACGGCAAGGCCTCGGACCTCGGGCGCTCCTCTCTTCTTATAGACTACATACAGCTCCCATTCTTCACATTATTTCTTGAGAACAAGAAAATCCAATATCCCAGGCCACTGAGCTGCAAAGGAATCTGCTGGGAATGAGTTAGGACAGCCTTCGGTCCTTCGTGATTGCTACTCAGAGTGGCTCATAAACCATTCCAAGGGCAGCCAGAGCCCACAGATGACAGCGAAGGACAAGCTGAGTGCTGACGTCTGAGCATGAGGCTGTGTAATGCTGTTACATAGAGGAGGCTGAACATAGAGGGTATGATCCAAACGAGACATTACGCTGTCTAACTGATTTCCAGGTTTTTTTTTTCTTTTTTGGATTTTCGAGACAGGGTTTCTCTGTATTGTTTTGGAGGCTGTCCTGGAACTTGCTCTGTAGACCAGGTTGGCCTTGAACTCACAGAGATCCGCCTGCCTCTGCCTCCCAAGTGCTGAGATTAAAGGTGTCCGCCACCAACGCCCGACTGATTTCCAGGCTTTTTTTTTTTTTTTTTTTTTTTTTTGGTTTTTCGAGACAGGGTTTCTCTGTATTGTTTTGGAGGCTATCGGTCCAGCCCAGCCTCGAACTCACAGAGATCCGCCTGCCTCTGCCTCCCGAGTGCTGGGATTAAAGTCGTGCGCCACCACCGCCCGGCGATTTCCAGGTTTTTAAAGTTATGAAGTGTATTTGCCTTTTGTTAAACAGATTACATAAGCACATGTCAAGTTAATTGCTTGAAGCTAAGTGTGAAGCCTCCTGTTGGTAACCCCAGCACTTGAGAAGCTCAAGTAGAAGGATTGTCACCAGCTCTAGGTCAGCCTGGGCTATAGTCTCAAAAACACCAGGAAAAAAAGAAAAAGAAAAAGTAAAAGATTGCCCAAGACACCAGACAGTGTTTGCAGGAATGACTAAAAATCCTTAGGGGGCATTTTCAAATAATGACTTTTGCCCTTAGATCCTAACATGCCTTCGGAGACGTCAATTTCAGATGTTAATGATTCATAACATAGTAAATACATAGTGCATACCTATTAGGTGTCAGGCACTTCATCATAGTTGGAGACTCAGATAGGGACATCTTCCTTCAGTTTTCAATCTGAGGATGGTGGAGCTGGCGTGGTTGAATACTGATTAAAAAAAAAAGACTCAAACAGGGGGAGGCCAGGAGCTACTACTGGACCAGTACTCTAAAAGACAGGTAGGTATCCTGTGGTATGAGTGATTTAACTTCATCTGTGGAGACATGGGAGGAAGAGAAGTGTCCACAAGGAAGAGAGGATGGGATTTGAAGCTGACATAAGCTTTGGGTCAGAACAAAAGAACCAGAGACAACCTGTGTGATCCAGGCACATAGAGGTCCTGGTAGGTGTTACGAAAAGGAGGAGAGGTTGGAAGGAGCCCACCCACAGAGATCATTGTGGGTTACACTGGATTTATGTCATTTAAAAATTGGGGTGAAAAGATTAGAAATTTAGGCAGTTCTACACTCAATCAATGAGAATGAAGTTCCTTGGTATGTTTGTTTCTCTTTTCTCAAGAACAAACTAGGGAGGATTCAAGACAAAGGTCCCTAGGAAAGCAATGGTATAATGTGATTGACCTCTCCTCCCCTGGAGCTTTTAATTCTGGTCAAGATTTACTGTGCTCCAGTGGAGCCTCTATGTGTAGATCCAGTCAAGGCTTATTACTTAAATTTGGAAGTGAATGATTTCACGTTATTACCCAATGCAATGTGACTGTGGTTTTCCATTCTTCCACAGGTGCACTATTGAGCACTGTGGCTCAATCTTAATTTAAAAAAATTGCTTACCTGCCTGAATAGTAAGGTATTATGACTAAACATTAATGATATTTATACGAAGCATTCTACTAGGTACACAGTATTTTAAAAGTGAGTTTTTATTATGACTTATATTAAAAATTCAGTGTGTGTGTATGTGTGTTGGATGTATTTGTTACTGTAAAGGCTTAAGTTGTATCTATAATGGATGCATTTTTCCATCCAGCTTTATTTTTGAGACAGTATCTGACACAGAATTAGAAGCTCACTGGTTAGGCTAGTTAGCTGCAATCCCACTCCTTTACGAGTTAGCTGTCACCTTGGTCTTTCACTGTGTTCTTGTGCTTTGAGCTCAGGTCCTTGATGCACAGCAGGTACTTTATTGACCGAGCCATCTCCCTCGCCTATTGCTCCTCCATGCCAGATCTGTGTGGTATGAGAACCCATGGGGAAGGGGGAGGAAGAGGCTTCTTAGAGATCCTTTCTAGAGGTCTGAGAGGTCTGTGAAGTCAAAGCTATTTTCTATCTTAAAGTTAGGGTCTTCCTACGTAATCCTGGCTGGCTTGGAACTCCTCCCTGTAGACCAGGCTGGCCTTGAACTCACAGAGATTGATCAGCTTCTGTTATTTGAATGCCTGGATTGAGAGTGTGAGACGCTGGGCGGTGGTGGCACACGCCTTTAATCCCAGCACTTGTGAGGCAGAGGCAGGCGAATCTCTGTGAGTTCGAGACCAGCCTGGTCTACAAGAGCTAGTTCCAGGACAGCCTCCAAAGCCACAGAGAAACCCTGTCTCGAAAAACCAAAAAAAAAAAAAAAAAAAAAAAGAAAAAAAGTGTGAGCCACCACACCCCACCAAAGTGTTTTCTTAATACCCAGAGGTTATTATTCTTTCAAGGTGTGGTGGGATTGTTCATTACCATGCAAAAACGAATAGTACTAATCTTCAAAAGCAGCTAGACGAACCAATGGTTTTCTAAAGGAGACAGTTGTTTTTTGTTTTTTAATTTTTGAAGTTACTTGGCATGTATTTTAAGGCACAAACCCAATGCAATTAATGTTGACATACCCTACAAAAAACACAAGTTCATTCAACCCTTAATTTTTTTTTTAGGCGTTTTAACAACAAGATATAACTTGTTCTCTAAGTCCGCACTCCTTTCTGGACTGGTTACTTCACCCTGGCCAGAATTGCTTCCATTTCTGCAAGTCAAACGTCCCGTTCCACCTTAAATATGTTCACCAGTGTTGGTCCAGGTCTGGCCAGCACCGCGCTGGGCTGTAGGGACGCCCGTGGTGCCCCAAGGGCAGCTTAGACTCAAGTTCTCAGCACTGACTGAGGACGGGGTGAGGCACCCGGACTTCCGGCTCAGCTAGGCTACACTCGGCCGCTTCCAGGCCGAAGTCGCCCGGAAGGCAGCACCAGACGCTAGAGCCAGAGAGGGCGTTTCCGGCGCGCCCCGCCTGGTGAGGGAGGAGCCACGCCCACACCGAGGGGCGTGGCCTCCGGCCGGCGCGGGAAAAGGACCTGCGCCGCGTGTGCGCGCTCAGCCGGCGATCGCGCGCAGCACGTTCAGGGTGGGGATGGCGGCGGCGGCGGCCGGGAGCGGGACGCCCAGAGAGGAGGAGGCTCCCGGAGGGGAGGCAGCAGCTACGCAGGCCCAAGCCCCGACGAGTGCATCCGGGGCTCGGCTCTCGAGGCTGCCTCTGGCGAGAGTAAAGGCTTTGGTGAAGGCGGACCCTGACGTAACGCTCGCGGGACAGGAAGCCATCTTTATCCTGGCGCGTGCCGCGGTGCGGCGGGAAAGCAAGGGCGCCGGGTCGGGGGCGTGGCTTTGGGGGCGTGGCGCGAGGGGGCGGGCCTAGGTATGCGGCCCTGACTTGTCTTGAGGCTCAGGAAGGCTTCTGCAGGGCCCTTGGAGTTTGTTAGCCACTCGCCTCTTCTCGAGGGCCCACACAAGTTTGGCTTGCGTCTCCGGTGGCTCACACAGAACTTGAAGGGGTCCCTAAGTGAATGAGTGGGGTGGATTTGTAAGTATCAGCAGGGGAATGATGAGCTAGCCTGTTAGGGAAAGGAATAGCAGAAGTATCTTCATGAAGTTCAGGGCAACCTTAGCTTCTAGAACTTTCCTGTGTGATAGAGTCCCCCTCACCCTTCTTGCTCCACGTATACACAGGGTCGCCCACCTCAGTGGATTAGAATCAACCAGTCTTCCCTCTGATTGTTTGTTTCACAGGAGCTGTTCGTGGAGACGATTGCAAAAGATGCCTACTGCTGTGCTCAACAAGGAAAGAGGAAAACTCTTCAGAGGAGAGATTTGGGTAGAGTCACTGTGCTACCTCAGGGTGGACAAGGGAACCATGGGCTAGGCTGGCTTGCTTTCTTTCGTTCGTTTTTGTTTTTCGAGACAGGGTTTCTCTGTGTAATAATGCCTAGCTAGAGCTTTGCTCTGTAGGCCAGGCTGGTCTCGAACTCTCAGAGATCCACCTACCTCTGTCTCCTGAGTGCTGGGATTAAAGGTGTGCACCATCACTCCCCGCCAGCTAGGCTCTCTTTTAGCTGGTTCACAGGGCATCGCTGAGGCAGGGGGGAGTTTGGTTTTTGATTTATTCGTCTAGCTGGTAACCCATGGGCATGTGTAAGGCTTAACAGATTGTCTCTCACTCTTTTCTGTGTTCCCACTCTCATTCCACTTTAGAGTGGCATGAAATGTAAATTTAGCTATTAAATAGAACTGTAGGAGGTCTTACTGAACAGAGTTTGCGTGGGCTTTTGTAGAGAGACAGTATGTAAGAATTAATAGTACAGAATTGGATCTCAGGACATCAAGGGATGTATTTTATAAGTGATATCATTTGCATAAAACCCCATGCCTTGGTATTAAGTGGATTGTGCAGTTTTGGGTCTGATGTACAAATGACAAGAGCTAATCAAATATCCTTTTCCCTTATTTTTCAGATAATGCAATAGAAGCTGTGGATGAATTTGCTTTTCTAGAAGGTGAGTTCAACATCTCCACATATCGTTCCCCTGCACATATAAAGACAGATGCTTGGTTCTCCTCTGTATACATGGCAACAGTTCTCCCTGCTTCCTATTTTTATGGAAAAAATATTTTCCATTCTTGGGAATTAGCTTAAACCCGTTAGCTTAAAAGAAGGAGTGAATATAAAAAACACTAGTGGAGCCGGGCGGTGGTGGCGCACGACTTTAATCCCAGCACTCTGGAGGCAGAGGCAGGCGGATCTCTGTGAGTTTGAGGCCGGGCTGGACCGATAGCCTCTGAAACAATACAGAGAAACCCTGTCTCGTAAAAACCAAAAACCAAAACAAAAAACAAAAACAAAAAAACCACTAGTGGAGTTAGCTGGATTTAGAGTTTGAATCCCACTTAAATCTCCATCCTTAAATATCAGTCTTGTCCCTAATCATGTTAGTAGTTAGAAACAATGTGTAAATTTTTTAAAAGATTAACTTTTATTTATATGTATGCTTTGTGTGTGTGTGTGTGTGTGTGTGTGTGTGTGAGAGAGAGAGAGAGAGAGAGAGAGAGAGAGAGAGAGAGAGAGAGAGAGAGAGAGAGAGAGAGAGAGAGAGTGTTTGATATGCCACATGTGTGCAGGTACCCACCCACAGGGGCCAGAAGAGGGCATCCAGTCCCCTGGAACGGGAGTTACAGGTGGTTGTGAGCTGCTAAACTGGGTGCTGTGAACTAACTCACGTCCTCTGGAAGAGCAGCAAGTGCTCTTAATCATGGAGTGACCTCTCTGCCCAAAGTTCCTAACTTTTAAAGACAGGGTCTCATGTAGCTAAGCTTGAACTCTTCACTGTGTAACTTGAGATGACCTTGAATATCTTTTCTTTTTTCAATCACCTCCTAAGTGCTGGTAAATAATAATAATAATAACAATCATCATCATCATCTTTGCTTACTCTTTTACTGTTCTGCCTCCCTGTGCCAACCCATGCCCTGACACTCTTTATATGTTCGTTTTGAATACCTTCTAAGATACCTTTCCAGTGTCTGCTTCAAGTCTAGATTTTTGAGTATTCTCTTTAAATTTTAGATCTTTGTCTTTCTACCTATTTGAATTAAAATAGCTTCTGTTAGTTGCCCACCTTGCTTTATAGCCCAGTGTAGGTCATCTTTGGCAGTGTTCTGTGTATGCTTGAAGAGAGAGTATTCTAGTTGCTAGGTACGAGGTCAAGGAATACTGTGCAGTATTCTGTTTTGTTTATTCATTTTATAAGTTACCAAGAAAGAATTGACTGTTAAATTCTTCAATCACAACTGCAGGTTATTTTTACTTATAATTCTGGTTCTCTTTATTATATAAGACCATGTGGTTAGGTGTGTAAAAGTTTAATATTACGTTACTTGTGACAGCCTATAGTATTTAATTTATAGATGGGCTGTTGTTATTTCTAGTAGTGATTTTGAGACTCCCACTTAATTCTCCCTTCCCATTTGGACAGACTCTGAGGTTTATCAATTGTTTCCCTCAGCCTGCCAAACGGCCCTTCTCAGTCCTCTCTCAGATTGACAGATACCTTCAGGGCCACCATAGCTTTGGAGGCTGGCCTTATTTTGTGACTTTGCCCTCTCTAGGTTGTAGATTTGCCTCTTGATTCGTTTTCAGTTAGTGAGAAATTATTTTAAAATAAGTTTAGCTTTATTCCTTGTTCTCAACAGAGATTTACCAAAGTTGCCAGGCATGGTGGCTCATCCCGTAAATCTCAGTCCTTAGGAGAGACTGAGGCAGGAGGATTTTAAGTTTGAGGCCAGCCTGTGCTACAAAAGGAGCTCCAGTCCAGCCTGACCAGTGACATACTGCCTCAAACAGCAACACAAAACCCTAAAGAAAGTTATGATTTTTTAGTTAGAAGTGTCTCTGGTTTGATTTTTTTTCTAATGTTATCCCTCTGAATCATGCATAATTATAGGATTAAAAATGACCTTGGCCCCTCCTTATACTTTGTAGGCTCCTTCAGTCCAGTGCTTTTCCTTCTGTGCAAATATGAGGGTAATGAGGGCCTTTGGAGGGTGTGTGTCTGTAAAGTGGTGTGGCGGTTGCTTCGCAGCTTCAGGTGAATAGGAGTGGGAGCAGACGTCATGCTGAGACCCCTCCAGCCAGAATGCAGAGTGCTTCCTGGTGTGATTGCTGGAGGCTTCTAGTGTCCCTCATAGGCAGCTCACTTGGCTATTTTGGAGAAACTCCTGCGATTTTCTTTCTTTCTTCTTCTCCATATATGTTTAAATCCCCGGCTTCTGCATATAGGGAGGGTTGTAAGAGGTGTGTGTCATGTGGGTCATTAGCTCCTTTCCTCTCGCTTCTCTGTCTGTCAGTCCTGGTAATGGGGCTAGCTCAGTGGTTCTCAACCTTCCTAATGCTGGGACCCTTTAATATAGTTGTTCATGTTGTGGTGACCCCAAGCATAAAGTTATTTTCATTGTTGCTTTATAACTATTTTATACTGTTATGAATTATAATTAAATGTATTTGGAGATAGAGATTTGCCAAAGGGGTCAGGACCCACAAGTTGGGGACCGCTGATGTAACACCTGCTGGTTCTGGGCTGGGGATAGCGTCTCCTCTCTTCCAGCCCTCTCCATTAGGCTCAATTCTTTCTTGCTCTATTTATAAATCTGCTTCAGTGAGATGTCGGTAATTCTGTTTTTGTTGTTGAAATTGCCCAACTGCTAGTGAATCTTTGTTCTCTGATGTCTTTTTTAAAGCTTTTTCTCTTTTGAATAGACTTTTGGAGGGTATGCAGACTTGTGTGCTCAGATGCCCAACATAAACTGGGACTTTCTGAGAAAAGACTAGAGAGACTGGAGAGATGGCTCAGCAGTTGAGACTGTACTATAGCGGAGGGTCCCAGCTCAGTTCCAGCACCTGCATTGGGGGCTGACAACCTCCTGTAACTCCAGCTCCACAGGATCTTGATGCCTTCTTTTGGTCTCTATGGGCATTGTAAACACCCACTCACATGCTAAAACACATGTAATTAAAAGTGAATCTTTTAAACTTATAAATGCTTTGCTTTGAGAGCCTTTATAATTTTTTAATATTCACTGAGTGATGCTTCAATTCTCTTATCCAGCTCTAACCTCAATTCTGTGCATTGGTAGACTTAATTCCCAACTGACTACTCTCTCTATGACATCTCCCCTGGGTCTTTGGGACAGGTATTCCTCAGGTTGGGATTGTTGTTACTGGCAAGACCCCATGTTTGTGACACTCCCCAGACTGACACCTTGCTTTCTTTACACATTGCCCTCTCTGTTTTTAGGGACTTTGGATTGATTACAGAGCTGGGTGATTTTGTGAGCCTTCGCTGCATCCTTCATCTTTCCCTGTGCAAGCCTCAGCTTTGGAGAGAGTCTGTGCGTGTACAAATCTTGTTCTCCTTTACCCAAGCTACAAGAAGCAGAAATCTCTGGTACATTCTCCACAAAGTCTTCCATTATTTGAGTCTGTCTTCCAGGTCAGGCCCGGATGTAGCTGGTGCTGCTCGGGGTGGAGATGAAAGGACTGTTCTGCATGAGCGGCTCAGTGATGGAGGAAGACCAGGATAAAGGTCTTTGGCCAGATTCATTCCTGTTTTACAGCCCTGCCTGTGCTCTTGCCCTGTGACTGAGAACCATGCCATCAGGCACAGCCTTTCCTCATCTTCCTACCAACCATCCTGAGTCAGCCTTTTTATTAACTTTGTTCTTTCTCAGCATGGCAATGGAATGTGGGTCTATAATTGATGCGATACCACTTCTCCTTAGGGGTCAAATCAATGTGGTCCTAACAGTTTTATTGATGTATAATTCATGTGTCACAAACAATTTAAACTAAAGCTCGGTGTTTTTTTTTTTGAATATTCATAGGTATATGTATCGAGATTCTGAACATTTTCCTTTCAGCAGATTCACATGAGTCTTTTGTGTATGACAAAATTTAGATAATGTTATTTAAATTTTATCTATGCTATGGTATGTATTTGTACCCTTTCCTTTATGTTGTGAAATATACATAATATAAAGTTTCCCATTTTAACTGCATTTCAGTGTGTTGCTCAGTGGCATTGAAGGCATTGAATATATTCAAAGTGTTGTACAGCCATCACCATCATTTGCCTTCAGAACTTTGTAATAATGTTCTCAGCCTGGAACATCGCGTACATGGAACAGTAACTTCCTGTCCCTTTCCCTTTCTCCTGTGCCTGGCTAAATTCTTTTTTTTTTTTTTTTTTTTTGTGAGAAGGTGTAGGTGGTGTATTTGGAATACTTAGAATGTTCAGAAAGGCAACAGAAAGCCTTGCCAGGGCTTCTTACAGCATTCTTCAATGTAGATCTCTTTTAAGATACAAAGTCTTTTCTCCAGAATAATAAACTCAGTCTTGTAGCATGTTAAAAATAAACTTTTAGAAAAGTACTAGGTTATAGAATAGAGCTTTTGGAGCCAGGCGTTGGTGGTACACACCTTTAATCCCAGCACTCAGGAGGCAGAGGCAGTCGAATCTGAGTTCGAGGCCAGCGTGGTCTACAGAGCAAGTTCCAGGACAGTCCAAAACAATACAGAGAAACCCTGTTTTGAAGAAAAAACAACAACAATAACAAAAAAACAAACAAAAAAGAGTTTGGGATTCTGCTTACAGAGTCCCCTATGACTGACATTTCAGTGTTACCAGGAATTGATGTTAATGGGTTACTGAGTTTTTTTTATCTGAATTTCACTACTTTTTCCATTAATAACCTTTGATTTGTGAGTATTATTCCTGCTTCTTGTGTCTCCCTAATCTTTCTTCAAATTTCTTAGTTTTGTTTTTAATTTGTGTGTGGTTTGCATATGCAGAGATATCTGCTTTTATGAGGATTCCAGGGAGCAACCTTGGGTCATCAGGCCTGAATTGTTGGCAGTGAGTGACTACTTTACCTGCTGGTCCATCTTGCCAGCTCTATTTCCTTGTCAGTCTGTCTGTCTGTCTGTCTGTCTCAATTGTGAGTGTGTGTGTTTCACCTTTAGGTATGCCATGGCACAGGAACAGGAGCAGATTGTAAGTGCCAGTGTTTACTTACAGGACCCACATCATCTGATATTGTTGTGAGGAATTAAGTCAGGCTTGTGACAATTTTATTGAGAACAATCAGACTTCTCATACCTTTTTCAGAAACAGACTATAATGACAATTGCCAGAATACAATGAAATTTGCAAGCTTTACAGGATACACAAGATTAATGTCTAAGACCAATTGTCTTGTCAAGTTTCCATGCTTCTGTGACTTCTGAGGGAACAGAAACACAAAGTGGCCTGGATGCTTCATTGCCTGAGGGAGTGTGCCAGTCTCTCAGGACCTGGAAGGCACACGGTGCCCCAGGAGCCATAGACTCTAACCTGAAAGCATGACGAAAGCCTCTCAAGGCAGCTAGACCCGGCCAACTCCATAGCCCCCTGCAGCAGGTGCTTTTCGTGTTGAGCCATCTTGCTGGCCCTTTCCTTGTTTTTTATGACATTGACAGCCTTGACTAATGCTAGCCAAGTACCCTGTAAACTCTTCCCCAGCCTGGTTTGTGCTTTTTCTGTGGTTAGTTAAGCCTGTAACTGCCTATCATTTTGAAAGTTACACAGACAGCCCGGCATTGGTGGCACATGCCTTTAATCCCAACACTCGGGAGGCAGAGGCAGGTGGATCTCTGTGAGTTCGAGGCCAGCCTGGTCTACAGAGCTAGTTCCAGGACAGCCTCCAAAACAATACAGAGAAACCCTGTCTTGGAAAAACAAAAAACAAAAGCAAACAAACAAACAAACAACACACACACACACACACACACACACACACACAAAAGAAAGTTACACAGACCCACCAATAGACCTGTATTACAAATATTTGAAAGTATACACGTTTTTTCAAGAGGAAGTTAAAGTTACATGTTTTGGCCAATAGTGGGAGAGATCACTGTGTGCTATCAGCATGTCTTTATATGGCAAGGTTAATGTTTGCATTTATTTTCCTGTGTGTGTGTAGTGTGCATTTGTTCACATATGTGTGTAAGCTAGAATTTGATGTTGGGTGTCTTCCTCAATCGTCCCACTTTATTTGTTGAGGCAGAGTCTCTAAGTTAAACTCAGATCTTGCTAGTTTGGTTATCTAGCCAGCTTGCTCTGGTCCCAGCAGCCCCTTCCTGCCTCTGTGTTGGGATTATTGATGGATCGCCACGCCCACCCAGAATCTATATGAGTGCTGGGGGTCTGAACTCAGCCTCTCAGGTTGATGCAGCAAATAATTTTAGCTGCTGAGCCATTTTTTTTGACCACATTCTTGAAAAAAAATTCCTTAATGTTGGTGTATGCTTTAAACATTTAAATAGAAAGGTTATTAGATGCTGTCACTAGAAAAAAGTTAATGCATTTGAAAATTTTCTGGGCGCAGTGACATGCCTTTGATCCCAGCTCTTGGGAGGCAGAGGCAGCAGATATCTGAGTTCAAGGCCAGCCTGGTTTACTGAGTGAGTTCCAGGATAGTCCAGAGAAACCCTGGCTCGAAATAAATAAATAAATACTAGGTAAATAGAACCTTCTTATACTGGACTAGAGAGCTGGCTCAGTGGTTAAGAACACTTACTGCTCTTACAGAGGACCAGGGTTGGTTCCCAGTTCCCAGTACTCATGTAGTGACTCACAACCATCCCTAACTTTAGTTCCAGGAAATCTGACATGCAGCAACACACATGATTTTAAAGGGTAGCAGTATTGATCTAGGCATGGTGGCACATGCCTTTTACTCCCGGCATTCATGAGACAGTACCTCTGTGAGGCCAGCCTGCTCAACATAGTGAGACCTGCTCAAAAGAGAAAAAGAGTTACTATTGAATTCAATTAGTGTATTTTAATTTTTGTTTCCTTTCTACTTTTGGGTGCTAGGTGATGGTATGAAATGCATATAGATTATCAAGTGTCATACTTCCTGATCTTTAGACCCCCTTCCTCCGGTGACATTCCTGTGATGTCATATTACAGGAAAAAAAAAAACAAGCAAAAAAACCCAAACCAAAACAACAACAACAAACAAAAGAATCAAGATGCAGACTTGATTTAGGTTGACCAGTCAATTGACTTTAAAGTTGGTTATCCTGGACTGCCTCAGCAGGCCCCAATAATTACACTTTTCCTTAAAAACAGAGCTTTTTCCTGAGCAAGGGTAAAAGGATGTCAAAGTCAAAGCATGGGAGAAAAGGCTTTAGTTGTTGCTGGCTTTGCAGATACAGGAGGCAATGAGTCAAGAAATGTGGACAGTGTTTTGATCATCAGTGGTGGCCTGCATAGACAGAGCCTCACTCAGTACCTGCACAGAGACTCAGCCATAGAGACGAATCGTGAGTTCTCCAGGATATCGTCCTGAGCACTGTAGTCCCCGCATCTGGCTTTGCTGCTTGGCTTTCTCTGCTGATCTCAATATCTTAAGTTTGCCATGGCCCCTTGTCCACCCCAGAGTCTTCCTTTTGTGTTCTGTATGGTAATTTGTTGATGCAAACCGTTACCTTGTCCCTGCTGCTTGTGACTTTCAAGTTCTATTATTGAAATAAAACTGAGCTAGTTCTTGCAACGTGAAGGAAACTTTTAGTCACTGTAACGGCTAGCAGCATGTCACTATGGTTTTAATTTGCTTTTATCAAAAGTGTTATGCAAACACTTTGTCCCAGCCCCCACCACATACATATTTTAGTGTCTGACGAGTAATTCTTACTTGTGTTCCTCTCTTGGTGAGATGACTCAAATGAGGCTCTTGGGCTACTAGGACTTCCTGCATTTTTGCTTGTCTTTTTAAGGCTGTGGATAAGCAGGCCTTCCGTTTGTCAGTATCTCCTGTGCTCTGTCTCCTTCCTCAGTGTCACTCACGGGCCAATGGGCCAGAAGGGGCTGGGCATTTCCCATGTGTCTGGCTGGGTGTGCTAGATGGAGGAAAATGTAAATTCATGAAACCTGATGTTAACATTATAGAGCCTAATTGTTACCTGTCGGCACTTTTTGTATGCATGTGTGTGTCTGTGTGCATAAGTTCGTTTGTGTGAAGAGGCCAGAGGTGTCTATTGGGTCCCCATGGACCTGGAGTTATAGGTAGTTGGGAGCTGCCTGACATGGTCCCGGGAATCAAACTCCTGCCTTCTGGAAGAGCAGTTTGCTCTCTTAACCACTGAGCCAACTCTCCAGCCTCAATATAGCTTTTTGAGACAAGGCGTCATGCATTCCAGGATGGCCTTGAAATTGCTTGAACTTCTGATCTTCCTGCCTTTATTTCTCAAGTGCTGGGGTCACAGGCCACTCCTATGTTTATGCTGTGCTGGGATCAGACCCAGGGTCTTGTGATTGCATCGCCTACAGTACGTCCTCAGCCCTAACGCCTAGTGTTTAAAAGCGTATCTCATAGCAGAGGTTCGAAAAGTTGACAGTCTGCCCCTGTTCTTTCTTCGTATTAAAACCAGGGATCTGATGGCCCCACTTCATGCTAAGTAGCTCAGAGCAGCTCGAGGTTAAGGCAGTTTTCCCTTTATGCCGTCTGACTGTTGGTTCAGAATGCATTCTGTCTCATCTTGGATTTTATATTTCTTCCCTCCTTTCTCATAGAAACTTGTTTTAATTTTTTTAAGATCTTTTGGTTTCATTCTTTTAATTTTGCCAGTTGCAATATTTTTGTTTTTACCTTTTTAAAGAGGCAAATACTTGTCTAGGTCAATTCTAGTTTGCTTTCTACTGCTGTAATAAAATGCTGACCACAAGCAACTTAGAGGAGGAAAGGGTTTATTTCATCTTACGTTTCCAGGTCCCAGTCGATCATAAAGGGGACTCCAGAAAGGAACGGGAAACGAGACCCTGGAGCAAATGCTTGTAGACTTGCCTCTGGCTGTGCTCGGCCAGCTCTCTTAACCTCCCCAGGGCTACCTGCTGAGGATGGCACTGCCCGCAACGGGCTGAGCCCCCATGTCAGTTAATTATCAAAGTAATCTCCCACAGATATGCCTACACACCAGTCATCCTGGCAGTTTCTCAGCTGATGCTTTCTTC